GTGACCTCCCTCCATGGCAGCCAAGAGCCTTAGGAGGGCTTAGTTCCCTCTCTGGTTGCTGGATCACCGAGGGTCCGCACATGTTGAATCTGTTCGTGGTGAATTTAAGGGCTAGGGGCGTATTAAAACCTCTATTTAATCATTTTAGACAAGAAGCAACTGATACTTTTAACAAAACACATGAAATGTGTAAGTATGATCAAATAAAGTCTGACAACTAATTGATGATGTACTGAAAACTGGTCAGTTGGATGGTTTGTTATCCATGGCTTGGAACCAACATTAGAATCCTCCCAAGAGCACCGTGCCAATAAAACTGGCAATAAAATGAGATGTGAATGTAGTTATATAGGGCTAATTGCTGAAACAGACCGGAATAGTGGCTCGCTTTATGGCTTCAATTCACCAATCAACGACTTTGATCAATTTGTCTGCCTGCCCACGAAAATTCCAAAAAGAAAAAGGCCAAAACAAAAGGCCATCGACTTGTTGGCATTTTTCTGGTTTTTGGCCTTTGCCTTCGGGCGTGTGAATCACATGAGTGAAGTGGGATGTGTGGGCGTGTTTAGTGGTGTTGCTGGCAAATTAATTGGGCAAAGGTCAGAGGTTAGGGCACATTCCCGCTTCTTTCGCTGCGGCCGAAGCCATGTCAGGGTGGGTCGATCGCATAATTGAATCATTTAGTCAAATAATCAATCATTCAAGTGAATCATTAATTAATTCAGCATCAACCATTTGGCTTTGACCCCAAACCCAGCTGCCTAGGAAAACACTTTGCTCGAAAAGGGGTGACGAAAGGGATTTGTGGTGCCGGGGGTGGTGGTTAGTGGGTCACAGCCTGGGTCTCGTCCTGGCGCCAATCTGGGTCCTTGTACGCTCCGGCTTGTACGATTTGTAATTAACTGTTATTTAATACGATTTGCTTGATTTCGCCGGCTGAAGGGGAACCAAACGGTTGGGGCATCCTCGAGGGGCTTCAGTCCCAACTGCGGTTATCCACACCACCCACCACCCACCACTGCGGCCAGGGATATTTTAAGCACCGATTTAATTTGCCAAACTTCCTGACGCCTTCGTTTCGGCCTCATCATTTGTTTGCCCGCCTGCCGCTGGCTCGTTGGCTCGTTGGTTCGTTGGCTCGTCTGTTTGTTTGTTTGCCGCCCCGACTGTCTGTTTGCCATTGATAAATGTTTGCGGGCCCGATGTTCGTTAATGATGACACTTCTTATTGTCAGCTCGATGGACCCAGTGACTGAGATGAACTCAGCGGGCTAGTGGACCTGCTCGGTGATTTGTCAGTCATAAGCGACGAGTCCTGCCGCATCCTCGCTGGCATCTTGACATGTGGAGTCTTAGGGGCTTTACGCGCTCATTGCATCCAGCTGATTAAGCGTTTTATTCGCTTCCCTTCGAGTGAAGCGACTGACTGAAACCACAATAATCTGGATAGCCCATCAAGGACACGCCGACGATACAGGCAGGAACTTTCCGGACAGCCCCCTAGATGGACTTCAATGACAAAGGCGAAGGCGATGGCGACGACGATGACGAAACAAAGGAAACTTCGCTGTTCCTGCCCAGGACGAGCGAAGTTCGACAGACCTATATCCAGCAACGAAATATAACTAAAGCAAGATTTCCAAGATATACAATCTGAGACTATAAGTGGAAAGATATGCGTTTGTCGGGATGATAGGAAGCCACGAGCTGCTTGGCTAGCGCCCAACTAATCCACCCTGGTGCGCTTGCCGCCGGGACACAGGGTACTCCTGGAAAACAGGTTATAAAAACATGTGTAACTAGACGACTTACAAGGATCACGCACTCCAGTGACACTTAATGCCGCCACGTCGACGCCAGAGACGAGAGGTTACACAAGTGAGCCGGGTGGGGAGTTGGGGAGTGGGGTAGCAAGGACGATGCGAGGAGGCCAAATGTCAGCAACTAACACAGACAAACGCAATTAGCTTTTAGCCATCATAACATTATGAACGGCAGGCGACAGCCAGCGAAGTAGACGACGACGTCGTCTGAATGCTAACTGCTAATGACAAGGATGTGGATGCGAAGGACGACCAGCAGGAGGGGCGGGCGAAGCGAATCCGGTGGCTGAAACCGAAACTAGGGCCAGTACTTTTCCGGGGGAGACGAAGGTGCTGGCGGTGCTGCCAGTGGTGCTCTTGGTGGCGATGTGGCTGGGATGAATGCGAAGCTGGGCGCATTATGTTGAGTTAGAGCCGCAGAGCGGCAGGACGCAGGAGCAAAGCTCACGGATGGCACGCGGCTGCCAACAATGCTGTTAACTTGTGTCGAGATTAAAATAAGGACACTCGGAGAGCAGAAAAAGCCCCAGACCCTTCCACATCCGGATGGACGTGCCCTCAACACGCAGCCAAAGTCACAGTTCGCAGTTCGCAGTTCGCAGTCGTCGGTGGAAGTTGACTTGCATGAGTTGCGAGCTGGAGCTTTGTTTATGATGGCAGTGCTACTGGATGGTCGGTGTCCTGGATGGGAAATGGGTGGTGATGCAGCTGCCAAAGTGTCCTATGGCTGAATTGGATAGTGCCAGGAGGGCGGACAAGAGCTCATCATCGTGCTGGCTTCTAAAAATTACTGCGTAAATGATGATATGAGATTTGGAGCATTTCTGCGGCATCATTCAGCGGAAGCGGATACACGAGTCTGCCCCGGCATGGAGTCGCTGGGATGTTGTCGCCACCGGAAGGAAGTTATTTAACGCATACCCACACACACACACACACACACACAGAGGGACATAATGCAGGACAGGAAGGGGAAGGGGAAGAGGAAGAGGATGAGGATGCGGGGGATTATGTGGCACGATAATCATATTACGATTACGTCGCGTAAAATTTGCGCCACTGCCGGCTGAATGAGTGATTGAGCGAGGCTTAAGTGGAAGTCAGCGGCCTACAGATGCAGACATGGATACGGATACAAACAGAGATTTAGATACAAATACATGGCACCGAGCACTGGGTACCTAATTAAATACACACGTACAGGGAGCACAGGGAGCACAGGGAGTGTGGGCAATGCCCTTCACGACTTTCGACAGGACGGCTTAAAGGACCCGCACTCCTCCCGCCAGAGGCGCCCTCATAATTATTTAATTTTATTTCATTGACTGTCGAGGAGCCGCCTTCTTCTCCTGCCTTCTTCTCCTGTCACTGTCGCCAATCGTCATCCTGTCCCAGTCCCAGTCCCATTCCCATTCGCATTCGCATTCTCCATTTCTGGATGGTGGATTACGGATGGTGGGCCGCTGTGGGTCGGGCACAAGATGCGGATCGCTTAGCATTAATGTCTTTCATTTATTGTCATTGTTGTTAATGTTTTTGTGCTGTGCATGGGAAAAAAGCATTTGCATTTAAGCGCCGCGAAAACGCCAAGTGAAAGGGTTCCACGGATGGGTTGATGGGTTGTTGGGTTGTTGGGTTGCTGGGTGGATGGGTGGATGGGTGGATGGCAGGATGTGTGGGTTCTTCTGTGGCCGGAGCAGAGATTTTGCTTGGATGATTTTTATTGCTCGTTTGTAGTAAATTTGGTGTGTAATTAGAGAGAAAAGGGTTATTATGTTCGTTAACGCAGTGCGCTCCATTCCCCCGCAATTTCACTTTGGCAAGGCGCGCAGCGGATTGGGAACTGGGTGGAGCTGCAACTGGATTCCGAATTTTCGGCGACACAATACGAAGCCAAAGACGCACCGCAAACGACTGCCTCTGACGACCGGAAGGCCTTGGAACAGACAGAAGGAAGCGAAACAGCTGAACTACTGAGCTGCTGCAAAAAACTGCACCGAAACCAAAACAGAAATTAAATTGTGGTTCGCCAAAGTGGTCCTGGTCCTGGTCCTGGTCGTGCTGCTCGTCCTATTCCAGGCTTGGCCTGGTCCTGGGTCACGGGAATGCGAAGTGGAAACGGGCCAAAGTGCGGAACCAGTAGGTTGGCATTGGGGTATATTAGTTTATTCGTTTAATGGGTAACTTTTTTGGCAGGAAAAAGACTTAAATATAAAAATGTGGGAAACAGTTTGCAGGACAAGAATTATGGTTATGAAATTTAGCCAGAGCTGCAAAGACAGAGTATCTATAGGGTAGCTGGACTATGTCGATACCAATAGCACCAATGCGGCACTGTGTCCACTTTGTGGTGCACGTTTTGCTCACTCGCAAGAAATAAATAAACGCGCAGATGAGCAGCATTTAATTAGTAGCGCTAAAAAGCAAAAAATAACATTATATTCGATCCCGCACCATCGATATGGTAATTACGCTCATAATAATTTATATCAATTTATAAATTGCATTAAAGCCGTTCGTGTCTGCCCTATTAAGTGGCTTGCTTGGTGCGCTGTGGTCGAGTCCCCCGGAGTCCACCGGATGTCCTTGCAGCGGAGGTGTGGATTCCCGAGGAGGCGGGGGAGGCGGAGGAGGCGTGTCGCCTGGCCCAGATCAGCATGATACAATGATAGCGACTCCAGAGCAACCGGGTCAGAGGCGACTCCGGGGCTCGGTTTTATTTGTTGCATTTGAGCCCCGGCCATGGAAATAAAATTTCAAATGTAACTTTGCTGCGGTAGCCAGTTCATGTACGCGTACTCGTACAACTGTGTGTGTGTGTGTGTGTGTTGCCATGGGAGTCCTGTGTCCTTTCGGCAACCAGTGTGCATGTGGAGCGCGGCCTGCGGCCTGTGACGATGCCGCAGTTAGCCCGGTCTGCAGCTAGGGCTCCATCTTGGCCCTGTCTCCGTGGCCTTTTCCGTTTCGAAGAACTCTGCCGGCGCCTTTAAGGGCATTGCAGTTGGCATAAAATTTAATTCGTCCTGGGAGCCGTCCTGGGAGGAAGCGCCCAGGACATTACGTGCTGGCACTGTCGCTTCCTGCACCCAACTCGAATCCAGAGCCCAAGCCCCGAAACTCAAAACTAATCCCAGTAGCATTTGCCGGCCAAAACATTTCGAGCACGCATGGAAACAAGTTCGGAATCTCTACGGGAGGCAGTCAGACAGTCAGACAGTCATAGGTCGAGCGAGAGATACAGCACATGGACGTACAGATATAGGACGTACAGTCGGGATTAGATGCAATCGAACATGGCCAGCGAAGCTGCCGATTCCAGAGCGCACAGCGAAATGGACGCGGACGTTCCGGATCCGTCCACCAGCGATAGTGAGCCCACCAGCAGCAGCGATACGGATAGCGAAGGTGATTACCAATCCACAGACATGTAGTTCCACTAACAGCGCACAGCACATCCCGCCCAGATGCCGCCCCCAACAACAGTGCCCAGACGAGCATGTACACCCTGCTGGCTGGAGAATCGGACAACGAACTGGAGGAGCAGGAGCAGCAGGAGGAGCAGGAGGAGCAGGAAGACTTCTGCGAAGAGACCATTTCCCTGCTGGCCCACGAGATCCTCTGCTGCGACAGTGACAGCGACTCGGAGCCGGAGCCGGAGACCGACGGTGGGGACATCAACGAGGCCAGGGACAACGATAGGCTGGGGGAAATCCTTGAATTTGAGCTGCACAATCCATACCGGCTCATGTTGAGCGACGAGGACGACGACACTCCAAATGAGGAGGAAGAGGCAGAGGAGGGCTGCTATCCCATCGTCAGCGAGACAATCTTTCTGCTGGACGAGGATCAGCAGAGCGGGGAAAAGTCCGAGTCCCGATCCGACAAGGACGACGAATGCTTCCAAAAGGAGCTGTTGGAGTAGTGCTGGTTAATTGAACTAGCATCTGTAGGCGGTTATTTTCTTTTCAAACATGCACGTCTGTTTGGAGAGCTCATGGATACACTATTTATGGTGGGCAAAGTATGAGATGGACCCATACCAAACATAGCAACCTCAATTGTCAGCATAGTAATTAGACGCCCAAAGTAATTAGACACGTGTGACCCGAGTGCCTCGACGATTAACTTTCTTATTTTATTTTCAGCCACATATCAACATTTATGTATTCACGCAAATTAACACACATTGTCTCATGCATTAGGTGCAAAAATGGCCCAAAGCTAGCCTTTTTGTGTGGGCCAACGGCATCGTAGATGCAGCACGAGTATACAGGTCAAAATTAATGGCAACACAAAGGGAGTGGAACTCACACACACACACACGGTGGATCCTACGACTGTGCTTTTAACTTTACAAATTTGTCAAGTTGTTTTCAATAAAGTAAATTGATGATACCATAGGCCCTACTTGCATGCCAAGGGTAATTTAATGTATCATCGTTTTTGAACTGAATCAGTCTTAATGATCTATTGTTTGGGCAGATGGCTGCCACATTCCTCTAATTGAATATTCAAGAGCAAAGCTCCAGAGTTGCAAGAAACTCAATTAGTTTGAAGTATTTTCGAAAAACCCACTCTTCTCTTTCGGAAAACTGCATGAGCAGACTGCAAACTGGGTTTGTTTCTACTTATGCTACATAAGAGAAAGTATTAGATCTGCTTGATTGCGGCTGGAAACCCGCCAGGAGCACTTGTGCTCCTACCTAGGTTTTCCCACATGGCGCCACCCTGCGATCAGGCCAGCATCCCCCTGATGGGGATCCCTTTTCACGTTGTCACTCACCTGTTCACACTCAAAGTGGCTGGATAGTCGCTCAGGACACCTGGGGGAGATGGGCTGGTGGTGGATGGCACTGTTGGCGATGCTGCAGGCAACTGTGACTGCGACTGGGATTGTGAGTTCAGCAAAATGCTGACAGGCGACGGCAACAGGCGTGCTGAACTGCAAGTGCCTTTCCCTTGGCAGCTGGCATTTAGTATTTAATATTTTGCCTCTGTTTATGGCTCGGTTATCCCACGGCTAGTCCTTCAGTTAGTCCGTTAGTCCTCAGCCCCTCATATTTGGCATTTGCATGGGGCTGGTCTTTAATTGCACACTGGCAGCGGCAATTGCTGGCAACTAAAACTAAAAAGGACGACAAAGGATGAGAAAGCGAAATGCGAATGCGAATGCGAATGGCGAAATGAAATACAACATCAGGCGGAAAGCGAATGCAGTTTGCAGTTTGCTGATGCTGATGCTGATGCTGCTGATGGCGATGATGATTCCTATTTCCATTCGTATTCCCATCCCATTTCCACTCCGCCTCCTTTCAATCCGACTGCACTTATCGTAATCGGCGTTTCGGTGTTGGCTTTGAAATTGCCCGCGACCACGTCAAAGCGACCACAAAACTAGCTGAACGGACAGCCGTTGACCATCCAACATCCAACATCCCACATCCACATCCACCCACCGCCCGCCGTCCACTAACAGCAGGCAATCGAGGACCGCAGGTCAGGTTTTAGCCAGTTATCAGGCGGGTTTAGCTGGGTTTAGTTGGGTTGAGTTGGGTTGAGTTGGGTTGAGTTGGGTTGAGTTGGGTTTGCTTTGGTTGGGATTGGAGGTTTGGCTAGTTCGGCTTGCTGATCAGTTTGAGGTGCAGCTTGCCGCTTGCAACTGTTGCGGGAGCCCCAGCCCCAAAGAAAAACCAACGAAATCACTCACCTCGCACCTCGCAATTTGCACTCAAAACAACACACACGTGATTCCGGCAAAAAAAAAAGAAAAGCAGAACGCAGCTGGACAGAACGGAGTGATGACAAAAAAAATTTCAGATGGGAATGCCACACAGCAGCCGCTGATTAGCTGAACAGCCGAACTCTAAACTATGAACTGCGGGTCGCGTGAAGTCAAGTCAGGACTTGTCGAGATTTGGCGAGAGATTTGCGGGCCACGCACGTATCCGCATCCGCATCCGGTACCCGGTACTGATGTCAACAAGCTACCACACGCAACTAATTCAAAAAATCCAGCGAACGGATTACGGCCACTGTCCGCATTGCCAGCCGAAGCCGAAGGCGTCACCAATCGGGTGGCTCGGCGCTGGCCGAGGCCGAATCCGAATGCAAAGTGAGTTCGTGAGCCGCTCGCTGGCGCTCGGCTCGGGCAGTCGTTCGATGTCGTTCGATGTTCGGCTGGGACCGGCAGGAGCACTGGTCCGCAGTCGTTGGTCGCCAGTGGAGTGGTGCGCACGTGGCCCGGCTGTAAGTGGCACAGGATTATGGATGAGATTCCCTTTTCGTCCGGCCAGCGGGCATTAACGTGCTGTGCGCTTTATTTAAAAAAGCAGCTTAACCTGCTTTTGTGACCTTTTCCCTTTTTGGCCAACACGTGGCCAACGGTTTCACCACCAGCCGCCTCACATTTGTCCACCTCCAGTGCCGGCGATGGATAGACTGCGTCCTCGTTCTGAACCACGCCATGCGTGTTGATAAATGGGTTTTTATTTTGATTTTATTCACTGTTTGCCTTGTTTTTGCATATTCATTGACGGGCTTCGACTCCGATTCCGAATGGCAATGGCAATCGGATTCCCATCCTCCTGCTCCTGCTCCTGCTTCTGCTCCTGCTCCTCCCGATCCCCATGCGAGGATGGCTGGAGTGCAAATCCTCTGCCACCACCTATTGCTCCCGGGCCATGTCTGTGCTGAAATGGTTTTCAATTTATTAGCAATCAATGGCATTAACAGCCGAATGCGATGCTATTGCTCCCCAGCGGATATGGTTACTCGGATTATGGCCGGGTCAGTCAGACAGGAAGCCAGTTGTCACTGATCACCAGCGTCGACATGGCCGATGGAGTGGGCCAACTGCAGAAGGCGTTGCGATTGTGATGCCATCGAGATCACCCATGTGGTTGATGGCTGGAGAGCTTCTTGCTATTGTCTTGATTAAAAGATTGACACCACTATGTTTTTTACTTAGGAATTGAGCGCCTATAGTTCTTTATTGTAAAGCGGATAAATCTAATCAAGTATAGGACATTAACTTTTCAGTAAAGTTAAGGCAAAATAATTTATGCATACTTGTACAACCATTTTTAGTACCATCATTTAGAAGTACTTCTATGTGTTAGAAGAAAATGCGTCGGTAGCAAAATATAATTTAATTGATAGCTTCGAGGGTTCAATGTTTCGTCAGAGAATTCACTGTATTTTGATGGGCAATTAATAAATTGAATTTCATTTTTGTCTGAATTTGATAGGCAAAATACTTCTTTAGCGGCAGGCCACCAAAGGTTGGTAACTCTAATCATATTTCAATCTAACAAAGTAGTATCGCACACATCTGGAAATGAGTCGCATGTGTGGCAAGTGTCCTGCGTTGTGCCCCTAATTGAACTGCTGACCCCCTAACCTTCATATGCCCCAGCTGCCATGCAGCGTGTACTTCTCTTCGGTTTGAGGTGCCCTCAAGATCGGTTCTGCATTTATGCGGAGTGGCAGTTCCCGGCCAGGAACCAGGAACCAGGACCAGCGGCCCAGTGTGCGGCCTAATGCGCTCAACCCGGAACCGCAGGGGCGGCAAATTGGTCAAGTCGGTTGCTGGCCACGTAGCCAGTGTCTTGCGGCTGCAATTCCCGTGACCAATCCAATGCCAATGGCAATGGATATGTAGATGCTGATGTGGATGTGGATGTGGATGTGGATGCAAATGGCAGGAAATGCGTGATAACGACCGGCAGCGCACATGGAAAATATTGAAAATTTGAATGAGGCACACACATGAGGCAGACACGAGTCCGCTCAGTCGATTCTCGAGATGGAAATGAATGCAGGACGCGGGGCAAAGCCATATCCTGGCCCTGACTGCGATGTCTTTGTTGCTGTGGACGAGGATGTGGATGTGGAAGTGTGGATGTTGTGAAAGTGTCGACACCAGTCCCGGCCAGGCCAAACACATGGCAAATGGCACATGCCACATGGCACATGGCACATGGTGGACGCTTCTCGTCCAGTGCCCCGCCCCGCCCCGCCCCAGCCCCATCGGCCCTCCCTGTTTGTGTCGCCGCCCAGTGTAAAGGAAAGAGCATAAAGAACCGCAAAATCATGAAATGCAATAATGAAGGCTTCATGGTCGATCGCTCAAACACTCGCTCACTCGCCCGTTGCGATATAGTCACACACAAAGAGGAGTCCAGGACGAAAATCGAAGGCTGCAGGTCGGGAACGAGCCCGAGGATGCGGATGAGGATGAGGATGAGGCTGAGGCTGAGGCTGATGCAGCAAACCCAGCAAGCCTGTGGATAAGGGGCCACCGGGCAAGACGTGCAATCGACACGTCTGTCCATGCACTCGAAGAAAAAACGCAAGTTTGTCATAGAAACCTCCTCCCAAGATAGTTGCCAAAGATCGAAGGCGGCGGCGCTTGAGGACATAATCGATAGGAAACATAGCGAAGAACCTGCAAGTTGACGGCGCCTTTTTTCCAGTGTGCGTCGAGTATCTATGGGCCGCCGTGTGAGTGTGAGAGTGTGTCTGTCGACACCACAAAGTTGCCATATTTAAAGCATAAAAGCAACATTTCCGTTTGTCGCATGCCGATGAAGCGACAGGAAAACAGGGCAGCAGGCGAGCCTGTGGACAGGGGCGATTGTGAGTCCTGGAAGCGAGCATGGCTGGGAGATGACGATGGGCGGTGGGAGTGGGCCAAAACTAAGCTGGGGTCGAGGCCTACCTCCCCTTCGGGGCATGTGTGTGGATGGGAGTGTGTGTCAATTTGTGTGCGTGCGCGTTGCAGTCATGTACAACATGCAACAAACGTGAGAAACTAAAATGAGTGCAATTTGTATTCCACATTTACGTAGAAAAGGAGTTGCAAGGGGGCCAGGATTGGTTATAGGATATCTGGGTATCCGAATATCTGAATATCTGAATATCTGAATATCTGGATGCCCGAGTCCCGACCACAGAGCGCAGAGCGCAGGGGGCTGCTCCCCCATCATTTTGGAAAGGCGCAAATTTCATTTATTTCCCATTTGTTGCATAAAATGTGCCGAATTACACACTCACTCATAAGCGCAAATGGCGCTGGTCCTGTGCATCATTAAATTGTGTTTGGCCAGTTCCAAAAGAGCGAAAAGAGAAAAGAACTCGACCTGCTTGGGTCACCAATTGGGTCACCCATTCTCAGCCACTGCTTTATGCCTTCCCCAGCTGCGTTGCAGCTGTTCGTGTGCCTCGGTAATTGTTTAAAGTAACTGCAACAAATTGAAATGGAATGCCAGCCAGCTAGCAAAGAAGACAAGCAGCCAAAAGGAAAGAACGCCGGCACGGAGCACCAAGAATGGCGAAT